TTTTTATTTAATGAACATTTACAGAGATTTTAGATTTCCATTCATTCATTGTTGCACTTTTCTCCCTGCCCACCTCTTCCCCCCCACCCCCAGTTCGCTCTTCACTTTGAAAACTAATAGAAAAATTCTTTATTGGTATACAGTCCTCCCCCCGCTCCAAGTACACTGCACTGTGCAACCTTCATTCTGTGATAACCATAATACTCTTATCATATATCGCTTTTAAACTGTTCTCTCTCTCATCTGTTTCAATGTAGTATACATAATTTGCCCAGTTTTTCTCAGTCTTACCCCCAACCTTGATGTCAGTCCAATTCTTCAACAGTGGCACTATGCAGTATTTGTCTTTTTGTGACTGAGATATTTCACTCAGCGTAATGTACTGCATAAGTTCCTTAGTTTTCAATGCAGTGTAGTATTCCATTGTGTGAATATACCACAGCTTCTCTATCCATTAGTTTGTTGATGAGTACTTAAGTTGTTTCCAACTCCTTGCTATTGTGAACAAAGCCGCAGTAAACATGGGTGTGCATATATCTGCTTGGATGGCAGTTATGGTCGCTTTGGGGTATATTCCCAGTAGTGGGCTTGCTGGGTCAAATGGTATCTCTATTTGCAACTTTTTGAGAAAGCACCACACCACGTTCCACAATGGTTGCACCATTTTATACTCCCACCAACAGTGAATAAGCATTCCAGTTTCTCCACAACCTCACCAGAATTTGTTGCTTGCTGTTTTGTTAAATTTTGCTATTCTTTCTAGGGTGAGATGATATAGTTGTTTTGAAAGAATGCTAATTTTTAATTAGAAGTTGTGAAAATAAAGTTCTAGGTTTTCCCCCCCTTCCTAGTTCATAAATCCCCTTAGGGATCTGAAGACTCTAGGTTAAAAACTCCCTTCAGAACATCACTCCTCTTCCAAACTCCATTCTGTGTGTGCCATCTCTGCCATCAAAATGATATAGTAGGGAGCTCTGATGGCCTGCTGACAAGAAGCTGCGCTGTAATCCCAAAGGCTTGCAGTTCCAATCCACCACATGCTCTGCTGGAGAAGGAGGGGCAATCTCCTCCTGTGCCGGTCGGATCTATTCAATGGTACACAACTAGTAAAAAACAATCATAACAAATGATGTACTAGTTATCATGCCAGTAATTCAAGGCATTGTTCGGCTGACCAAGCCGTATTCCTAAAGAGTATAAATGTCTTTGAAAAACTCAAAATGAAGGGAGGGAAAGGAGTGTAAAAACTTAAAAAGAAATTTTTTGTGTTAATTCTTCTTTTTCATAGGCAGCTGTGTCAATGTTAAAGCAAGACTACAAAGAAGGCGAAATGACTTTGAAGTCAGCCCTGGCTTTAGCTATCAAGGTGCTAAATAAGACCATGGATGTTAGTAAACTTTCTGCTGAAAAAGGTAATTTATATGATTGAGCAGCTCCTGGGTTAAGCTTTTAAATGTCTTAAGTTCATTGAACGGTAACTCATGTTAGGAGTTACATGACCTTACACCTGTCTTTTAAATGTGAACACTGGTCCTTAGTGAAATTAAATGACTGGACCACAGTCAGCCTTTGTAAGTGGTGAAACTACAGCCTCAAACTACATTCTAAGCTTAATGACTTCAGGCTGAGTGTTCTCATGACTCCCAAGTTCGATACCTGAGCCATGCTGCCTTTTTTTTTTAATGTCAAGATACTTTATTTTTAAAACAGGTCACAACAAACAAGTCACAACACTAACTTTTGGGCCATTCTGCCCCTGGACAAGCTACAAATGCTTGTTCAGCAGCTGGGTGCATTCTTTAGTAGCATGTGTGAAAAATAAAAATGTATATAAAACATATAAAATAGTCAAATGGTTTCCATAGGAACACAGATAAGTGTGACCCCATCCCCTAGTCTTCTGTATTGTTGGATCTGTTTCGTCCCACCCTACTCTTATAAAGACATTTCAAAATTAGCAATAATTAAGTTAAATGATCCCCCCAAATCCCTTAATTAAAGCTAAATTTAGAGTTAATAGCTACCAAATCATATCTACACATTAATACTAGCTGAAGCACAGCTTGTTGGATACCGTTTCGTTCACTCTCCCAAGCACAAACCGTTTCGTTCACTGTCCCAAGCACAAGACAAGGGCAGAGTGCTGACATCCTGCTCCTCCACTTCGAGTGGATACTCATGGTTCTTGATTTGCTGCATGAGTTGGCCATATTGGCCCAGACATCACATAGTAGATAGTTGGTCTCTGGAACCCATTTAAAGTAGAAGCAGCAGCAACAGTGTAAGGACCCATGTTTTCAAACAACATTCAGACACTCACATCCTTTCTGGCAGGTTACAGGACTCGGTCCAATCCAGGCCATCCATCATATGTTGGGCCCCATAAGCTAGATGAATAAGATTTCTCATCTGGCTTGGGTCTCTTTTGCAGAAGGTTCTTTATATGTGCATGATCATAAAAGATGCAATTAAATGAGCCATACCCCATCATTCACAGAATACATAAAGGTTTGTTCACTCGATTCATCTTCATCAGAGCCCGTCTGTTCTTTTAATACAAGTTTCTTGGCAATGATACTAACAGCAGGGGTGAAAGCTAGCTGATGTAATCATAGTATCTGCCTGGATCAGCTATGATTTTTACCCCACAGTCTGATGGAAAATACTTGTCCAATGCTGGATTGATTATACTGGTGATCTCTTCAAATTTAAGCTTCACATCCTCAGATCCAGGAAAGCTGCCACCAATATCAAGCAGATACATGCTAAAACCAGCCTCACCTCCCATGTCAAAGACACAACGGGCATCAGATACTGCTTGCACAAAGGTGTCTGGGTCAGTACAGCCACTTCCCACATTGAAGCTGACAACAGTGACACCAATATTGAGTTCTTTAGCCCATTCTAAAAGAAACCTGCTGGTTTTGAGTGTGATCCATGTTTCTTTTACTTAACATTGATTTAGATACCTCATCAGTAATGTCTCTGTGCATGTGTGTACAGGTGGTCCCCAACTGTGGGATTCCATTCCAGTTTATTTTGGTTTTGACATTAAAATAGCTATGTATTTTTCCCCCCTGTAGTGGAAATTGCCACCCTTACAAGAGAGAATGGAAAGACAGTAATCAGAGTTCTCAAACAAAAGGAAGTTGAACAGTTGATCAAAAAACATGAGGAGGAAGAAGCAAAAGCTGAGCGTGAAAAGAAGGAAAAAG